CAAGTCGGTTCTAGACACATTACTGATATTTTATCTTTTGTAAATACTTTTTCCATTGAAGAGAACAAACACTGTGAGTCGTGAAAAATATCAGAAACAACTAGCGACGAGTAGTCCTGTTGTATTCTACAAGATATTATATTCGTTTGTTTAATGTAACGTGTCATAATTCGCTCTCATTGGCGTTCATGATATCATGGCAACTTGCCGTATTTTAATTTCATTTCATCAAAATATTGCAAATTTCGCTCATAATAATACAATAAATGCGTGTTTTGTAACAGATCAATCAGATTTCATTGAAAAAATTCATCATTTAAGTGATTTTCATTTAATCTCATCATGCCTATTGCCTCCCGATACAATATCATTACTGTCACTTTTTTCCATATTTATTTTGTTGATTCGAGACCGTCAGATTTTATAGTACATCCCTGTTGGTCCTTTCACCCCACATAAAACTCTGAATTCACACTTACGAGCAAGGTTCTCTTCTGAAATGTTTTGAGGTTTGTCCAGTTATTTCTTAACGTAACCAAACGACGTTACCAAATAATACCGTATAGAACAAGCAAAGTTACACGATACCTATATACTCGTCGTGCCCCCATGCCCCCTCGCGGGTTGAGTGCCCTGAGTAGAAATCTTCTCCACAAGGTTAACGCTCCTCCGGAGCGGTCCTCAACTTACTGATGGGCACTTCAGCAAGATTGACATCTGACCTTCTTTGGTCGAAAGTCAGCCTCTAGGTGCTTTTACTTTCTGATCTGTTGAATTGTTTTATCATGACTTTCCTAATTGAATTATTGCATGGGATCCCCAAAAACTAACCGGGGACGAGCGTCATTTTAGTCGCGATCAAGTGTTGGTTGTCAGTCAATCTGAAAATAAGTTCAATTTGAAGTCTGGTTAAGAAATTTTTATACTTATCGGAGCCGTCTGAGATTGACATCTGACCTTCTTTGGTCGAAAGTCAGCCTCTAGGTGCTTTTACTTTCTGATCTGTTGAATTGTTTTATCATGACTTTCCTAATTGAATTATTGCATGGGATCCCCAAAAACTAACCGGGGACGAGCGTCTTTTTAGTCGCGATCAAGTGTTGGTTGTCAGTGAATCTGAAAATGAGTTCAATTTGAAGTCTGGTTAAGAAATTTTTATACTTATCGGAGCCGTCTGACAGCGACTCTCGGGGGGTGGTCTTTGGTTGTACTTTGTTGGCCTCCTGTGTTTGTCCCTCTCTCGGAATCTGGGGTCATCCCTATTCAGTGCGTTATGTAGGTCGCTTAGCGCTGGATTGTCGTTCGCTCGAATTCTGTCAAACGTGTCCTCTGCGTGTTTCCTCATGTATGCGTCTACGTAGTGTATCTTCAGGTCTAGATCCCGGAATATGTACCTATTCGGTACATATCTTGGAGCGTTTACGGCGGCCCTTATGCACGCGTTCATAAACGACTGGATCTGTTTTCTGTATGTCGCTGCGCACTGGCCCCAGGGAGTGCAGGCATACAGGAGTATCGGTAGTATTACGGTCTTTATAATCAGTAGCTTCACTTTCAGTCCCATGTTGATTCTTCGACCTATTATTGTTAATAGGTTTTGTCGGGCAAATCTCGCCATTCCTATTCTTCGCTGTACGTGCGACCTGAACTTTAATTTTTTGTCTAGGTCGACCCCCAAATATCTAGCTTCGTTGGTCCACGGAATCTCTTGTCCGTTGATGATGATGGTTCCTTCCTGGTGTACCATCCTGTCTCTTGTCTGCCTGCCTGTTGCTGCGTAGAGCGCCAAAGTGTTGAAGTTGTTCTTCGACACGTCTGGTGTGTAAAGTGAGATGAGGTGTGGTGAAAGGATGCACTTTGTGGGACCCCTGCTTCCAGTAATCGCATCGTTGAGAGTTCTTGTCCTACCCTACAGTGGCATCGCCTGGCAGCTAGAAAAGACTCGATTAATCTCACCATTGATTGTGTATCCAAAATTGATCTTTTTGGGCAGAAGTCCATCATGCCAGACTCTGTCAAACGCTTTGGAGCCGTCTAAGAAAATCGCTCCGGTGTTGTATCCTTTGCCGAGGTTGATGTCTTTCGTGGCAAAGTCTACTGCCCTCAGGACTTGCAACTCTGTCGAGTGTTCTGACCTGAAACCGAACTGTTCGTGAGGTGGATTCCGAGTTCGTTAGTTTGGTCCTCTAATTTTTTCAGGATTACGCGTTGTCACTTTGGTTAAGGAAGGGGTTAATCTGATTGGCCTGTGATTATTCGGGAATAGGTGATTCTTCTTTGGCTCCGTGATATGGATGACCGTCGCCTCCTTAAATGGATACTGGAAGTGCTGCAGTCTGAGTATAGTATTTATAATGTTTGTTATAGCTGCTATACCCTTTCATGGTATGACTTTCAGAGCCCGGTTTGTTATTTGGTCTGGACTTGGAGCTTCTCGATAAGCTAGACGTCTTACGATATCTTTCACTTCTTCGGAAGATGTTGGAGCCAGGGGTTGCACGTTGTCCCTTCTTTGCCTTCTGAGTCTACGTACCGTCGTTTCCACCTGTGCCTCTATTTCTTCTACTTCGTCCGTGAACGGGACGTCGTTCTCTCTACACTGCCTTTCAAAATTGTCCGCAAATGGTTCCGCTTTCTCTTGGTCCATGTGTATCGTGCCTACCATATCAGTCCTTTTATGCCGCCAATTAGAAACCGACGGAAAGTTGTTTGGTTTGTAACGGTTACTCGAGTCAAAATTGTTATGGATAACATTCAATAGTACTGCAACTCCGTTAGCCTTAACGCAACATTTTCTCACTAATGTTACACGTCATTTGTTATAACCTGAGTACAGACATGTAACAGAACATTGTAAAGTACCTAATAACCATCGTATTAGTATGTAAGAAGTGTTGACGCTACTTCGGGCATAAAAAAAATGTAACAATATAAAATCGCTGCGTTACATCTTTGTCGGTTTTTCGATACTCGGAAAAAAATTGTAAGAAAAATGGAAACTGCAGTCAGCAGTTGAACGAAAAATATAAAAAAATGAAGATAAGATAGACAGGTGAGTGTGAAAAAAATTAGTGTAGTGTATCATATTACGGCGAACTTCATAGGTTGAAACCTGTTAATGATTAAATTGATGGACGTAGCATTGTGGCATGAAAAATGAGGAATACAACTTTCTATGTTTTCATACCACTTGTATTTGTAACTAAGATTACTGCAGTTTTGCCTTATAAGCATATTTTCAAGTTTATTTATTATTTTACTTTGCCAAGCTTTCGCTTCTTATGGGAAGCTTTCACTCATTTTTACTGCCCTGAATAAGCTTTCCATTAGAAGCGATAGCTTGGCAAAGTAACTCAGAGTTTTGATTTTCCATTCCACTGTACATTTCTTCAGTCGCTAAGATTCTCAACAACAGAAAAGAACTGAAAAAATGGACAATACTTACAAATAATCTGAATTTCACAATTTGAAATTGAGTATTGATGATAACATTTCAAAAAATTCACGCATTGGTATTTATAATAGCTTTTTCAGATACCTGATATTAGTAATGTCATGTTCAAAGCTTACTGTAATGACAAGAGTGACATTATCATTATATTCGTTCTGCATCCAACTGGTCTCTGATTTTCCATCTGGATTCTTCTACCTCGGTCTGATCAATAAGGGAACTGGTGAATTCTACTGCAGTAATTATAGGGGAGATAGGGAAGAGGGGATAGGTGAAAGCGCTCGAAAGACCTATGAATAGTCATCTTTCGGAGGAATAGTCCAGTCATAACACGAAGACGATTGTGGATACTAACAATCGAAACGTCGTGAAGTAACTTGGTTATATTAGGTCAAAAGTGAGTGGGCCTTTTCGACCCTCCACCGCAACCCGCAAAGGTTTATTGTGACTCACACCTATTCAAACTCGACCAAATGAACCTAGCTTCGTAACGAAGTCGAGTAGTTTAAATAATGAGTAATCTTTCAGGTCAGATGGTAGAAGTGTGGTTCTACAAAACTGTGACAACCTGATTCGATCTGCAGTGGGGCAGGCACAAAGTATACGCTCTGCTGTTTCATCATTATCCATACAGAGGCGACACACTGTGTCTTCCGATAGACCGAGTTTCTGCATATGATGATTCAGACGACAACCTGTAAGGAGACCTGTTATACATCGTAGTTCATTCCTACTGTAGTCCAACAACTGTTTGGTTTCAAGCTTCGAAGGGTTAATGAACGCCTTGGAGTGAGCCAATCCTGGAAGATTTTGCAAGAAGTATTTAAATCTTCTTGCCATCCAGGTGTTCAGTGTTTGTTCGGCAAAACCTAAAGCAATGCCAATGATAGGTTCTGGTCCGATGAAGCTACTTGCAGCACCCTCCAGTGGACTCGCTCCCGCACTGTTGAGAGGGTGTAAGTAACGGACCGAAAGTATGACGGGGAGGTGTTTGAGACATAATATTATATCAGAACGACGTTAAAGACTCATTCGCCACTAATGACGCCAAGTGTAAAAAAGTACACAAAGCCACATTACGGATCCGTTACAGAGGTACGGTATCTGAATCTCCCGGAAAGTAGGCAGAGCAGGCAACTATATATTCGTTCTACCCTTCCTGACCGGTAGGAAAATTTGGATGGGTATATATTAGGAATTTGTTCGAACAGATTTGTCTTTGAATAATTTATATTTCAGCATATCTGCATTCAACAATTTGAAGTGTATAAAGTGCATGCAGGGATCATACAAAAAATATACATTGTGTGCATTGAGAAAATTTGAGTAAAATTTGAAAAATAATTTAAGGCGAAATGGTCCAGTATTAAAAGCTGAAAAAAATATAAGCTATTGATTCTATGCAATTTCCTTTTGAATAAAAAATCATTGTAACTTTTTGATATGTAAGAAACATGTGTCATGATGAATGACAAATGAAACCTGTACTGACTTTGACATAATGAACGAAAATAGGTAATATTTTGATAATACAAATACATCACCTTGATTGAAACAGCTTCTTTTGAATTGTATGCAAACCACTGATCGTCTTTATATTTGTACGGCGATTTCTGGTCATTATCCCATACTTCGGTAAAATCGGTATAGTTTGAACAAATCTAAAAGAAGGTAACAAAACCGGTCATCCGAGATCTGCGATAATATTTCGTTAGTATGTTAATTTTTCGGAAAACCCCACTGTATTTAGTTATAATCATAAGTTATAGAGATGCATATTTTAATAATTTTGAAATCCTTGTAAAAAAAGGTATCTATTAAATGTCTAGGAAATGCTTACATTTAAAAAAAATTCTTCAGAGTGTCAAATCGAAATATGCGGAATTTATTGTGAAGTAAATAGCTTTAAAGTTATAGTTATCACCATTTATAGACCTAAAAGTGGAGAGACTTGGATAAAATACTTTATGAGTGGGCGGCATTTGGCAGTCAAATATAATAATATTGTGTCCAAGGAACATGATGATGAACATGATTCTCAGAGATCAGTACTGGAACCTTTACTTTTTGTGGTATTTGTTAATGATCTCTCAGAACATGTTCACAATTGCCACATAACTATGTTTGCAGATTATACCACAATGACAATCACTGGGTCTACACTGGAAGATGTATTAACAAGAGTCAAAAATCAGATTCGTTACAATATATTGATCAAGCGGAGAGAACCTTTTTCCGAAGAATAAAAAAAATAGGATTGGTATCTTAAATGAGTTTAACTATTACTATGACGTGTTACATTCGAAAGAGAAAGATTTGAAACTCAAGAGTTTGAAATTAACAGATTTGAAAATGCTGAAAATTTACTGAATGATCAAAAATAGAATTGAATACTTTTCCTCCATCGAATCTCTTTTCCAACGTGGAAATTGATAGTTAGTTTACAACATATCCATGAAATGATTTTGTAAAATGTATTTCATAATGTTTACTTATCCGATTAATAAAACCCTTGAATCAGATGAAATGATCTTCAATGTCTAAAAAGAGGTTATTCATCAGAAATGAATGATTGCTTCTTTATTCATTTACCAACAAATATTACACTAGACTTTTGTTCAGTAATAAGTTTTAGAGTTAAACATAACTGAAAACGTATATACTGGGTGGATTTTCATTCAAATTCAAATTTATTGCATTCATATCCTATTGACAATAAATAGATCGAATTAGTCCAAGTTCACTAATTAAATTGTGTCTGATGATTATGTACATCTGAAATGATAAACATAAATAATGGTTAAAAAAATATATATTCTTGAATGAAACATCGAGTCAAAAACCGAATTCGAATCGGGTATTTCAGTGATGCATACTTCACCGTTTGTGAAAAATTACAAGACCATCACAAAGATAAAGCAAAATATGAAGAAGCATGAAAAGGTCAGTACTGGAAGTCACTAACCACAAAAAAGTTCAAATTTATGGAGAGAGTAAAAGCATCCTTCGGCAAGTACTTTCTTTAATTTGCTTTTTAAGATATCTGGACGTGTGCTCTCTCTCTCTCAATTCGAGGAGCAGAATGTTGAATAGACGTATTTCAGTATCCACTGAAACTTTCTTTGCATGGAGTGATAAATTTTCTTCGGTAAAATATATACAAAACAACATAATGATTTACATGCACCTTTTTCAAAAAAAATGTCCTTTTCAATTCTCCATCGATAATTGTTCAAAGGATTTTTAACAAATCACCATTACCATTAGCATTTAAATAATTTCTTTTAAACTAGTTTTTTATTCTGTAGATNTGAGATGCTTAGCAAAAAATCTCAAATTCAGTTCATAATTTGATTATTGCAATGATAATTGCATAATATGATAATTGCAATATTCTCAACAAATTAGAATCATAATTCAAGAGACATCTTGTAGTAGTATGTCCTGAACAAAACTTTATAGAGTTGGCGAAAGAAAACATCCAAATCGATTTAGCGTAGATTCAACTCTTACCAATAGATGGCAAGGTCAAAACAATCAACCAATGTTTCCTTTTCTTCAATGAAAGTGAATTTAATTTTTCGCTTATAGTTTGATAGGTAATTTTAAATTTTGTTGCATGCTCTGACGAGTTATATGATGATGGGTGGTAACCTCAAATTTCACAAGATGTTTCTGAATCAAACACACTGTCCCCAGAATGAAAAGAGCTACAACCGTTGCCTACATGAGTCACGAGGTTTATCTTTGCACAAATTTAAACAATCATGATTTTATGATGGTGTGAACTGATGTGTTTGAGGATTGTATCATGTGCAATAACCACTGAGTAACATTAAAAAGAGTTCAAGATCAATTTGGACCACTACATACCCTTATCGAGAATATCAGTTGTTTTCCAAATAAATGAATTCCAAGTACTCTCCACCTTGAACTCCACCTAACATTTGGTTCGATCACTGACAAAAAAGGTATCTGCATTCATTTACTTAAACATTGACGACGTTTGGGAAATGCAAGATTCATCAGATGTCTTTCCAATTATAAAGACGGAGGCAGACTTCGGCCTCCGTATACAATATCTGTAACTCTTGTTTTGACAAGTTGACAAGAGTTAGAATATGATAAGTTAGTTTCAAGTAAAACATTTTTTTTTTGTAAAAAATACTTACGCAGAAGTTTATCGGAATGAACTAAAAAGTTTGCTCTTTCTAGACCTGTACAAAGTTTTTCATTACAATTTTTATTGTTTTCCAGATTGTGGAAGGTAGAAGAGGTCGATGAAAAACTGTGATTTCCTCCACAACAAAATTAATAAACTATTTTTTAATTTTTTAGTTTCGTCTGCTATAAAAGCGTGTTTTTTAGACTTTTCAAACTATATTTATTTTATCTAAACTTTGGGATCAATCAGCCGTATATTGTTTCGAAAAATGACCATTGATATTTTCCGATTCCGGAGAAGGAGCCTGAAAATCAGCTGCCAAGCCCAAGGCAGCAGGCGCGCAAAGGAGGGTTACAAAAAAGACAACAGGCGCGCGTGTTAATAAAAAAAAAAATACTTTTTTCAAATGAAGAAATACATGTAAAGTTAGTTCGAATTATATCAAGAAGGTTACGTACAGCGCCATCTGCCCGCGAATAGATCAAGCAAAAATGTCGATAATTCTGTCAAATACAGATCCCGAGCTTGAGAGCTACGAACAAACATACATTCATACAGGTGAAGCTAATAAACGCGTGATAAAATGATGATAATAATAATAAAAATTTCACATGAAGTTTTGTGTTATGAATGAAATGAGTACTTCGTCTTGTAATATTATCCAGATACGTGATAACACAAGTGTTTCATTCCGAAACTTCGAGGTCCGCCATTGAGGAAAATAGTGTTTCATGTTGGTGAAATTTCATATCATAACACTTTGTGTAGCGTTTCTGTGAATGATACCTGATTCAATTCCATATCTACTGTTCGGAGTAGAAACTGGATAGGAAAAAGTGATTTTTGTATAATTCAATGTTCATATAAAAGCAGTTGTTTCGAAAGTATTTTTCTTTCGTGTAATTCAGTTTCATGTGAAAGTTGTTGTTTCGAAAGGGCGTTTCCGTACAGTTTGTGTGATTTGCATGATATAAACATCTTTGAAAATAGTTTTTTTTTCATTCGGAAGTTTACCACATTTTTTGTATAAAGATCAAATAGTGAAAGCCAAACGGCTTTTATTCATTTCCAAGTTTCTTACATTTCATTCAATACTGAAGTAATATTGATAAACTAATGCTTACCTCGGAATACCTCAGCACCCCAACTAGTTGGCCCTCAACTGGAGAATATGTTGAATGTTGGTTTTTATCCTTGAGCGTGAACGATAAACTATGAAAGGCGATGCTCAAAACTAATTTGTTTCTATTGATGCCTGCTTTTATCCAGTTATTAGCAACCGCATTCATGTTGAGATGACTTTTTTCCCACTGAGATTGTTTTGAGGAGGGATATAAAGCATTATGATTTCCAGTGTGATTACTCCATGGTCCGTACATATCGTATGATTCCACAGTGATGTAATCGACAATCCTAAAACGTTCGTGAGATATTGATGGAGTTCAAAATTATAAAATTGGTGATTTTTTGTTGAAAATTCCTTTCAGTACTTCATGGTATTTTGTGCAAAGTGTCCAACTTTGGGGTAATTGTTATTAATTTCGTATCATATGAGATATGCATAATTTGACATGGTTGCAAAAAATTCAAAATAGTTGTATTCGATTCGCATACGGTAAACTGAAGTATGCCCATTCATTCAATGACTCAGGTTGGTTGAAAATGAATCAAATGAGAGAAACACACCTCTTTACAGTAAGTAACCCGTAAAATTTTGCAATCAGGAACACCATTATATTTGCGGAAAAAATTGTTTTTTGGCGAGGAAGAATGATTCGCGTATTAAACTACTGCTCATTCCGAAACACAAAACCACATTATACACATGTAGTTTTTCATACAACACAGCAAAACTAAACAATAGATTACCCCATGAACTCAAAGACTTCAGTTTGAGAAATTTCAAAAAACGTTTGAAAGTCGTCCTCCGAACAAGGTAATGATGTCTTTACTATCTGATGACTCTTGCAATGATTTTTGGCACATGTACAAGCAGGCTTCAATTCTAACGATATGAAATTACGCAGTTTCCGGTTTCCGACTTCAGCCCACTAGACCTGAGGAAAGCAAAACTCAGGCACTTTGATAAGCCAAGGTCTTCAATGTTATTGAAGAAGACCCCATGCATTGGCTTATCCTTGTGTTTCCGCAGAAGTGAGCTGATCTCCGCGGCTTTTATATGAGCTTTTTGCTGAACGGGTTCCAACTCTGTGACAGAGTTGTGGTCACCTCGATCAGTGTGGAAAACTAAACGGAGTTCATCAGCTGCTCGGACAGCTGCCCTGGAGAGAAATTCTCCAATTCCTGCTCTCTCATGGTCACGGACCATGCAGAGAAGGGGATCCGAACTCCTGACGACTTTACATGCTATATCCAGAGTACGGCTCTGCTGAACTCTAAAAACCTGATACTGTCCCCAGCGGGGCAGGCACAAAGTATGTGATCTGCAGTTTCATCATTTTCCAATCAGTGACGACATACACTGTTTTCCGACAGTCCGAGTCTCTGCATATGATGATTCGAATGACAGTCACGTGTAAGAAGGCCTGTTAGAAATCGTGGTTTATCCCAAACAGTTGCTGTAGTCCAGCAACTGTTTGGTATCAAGCTTCGAAGGGTGAATTAACGCCTTGGAGTGAGCCAATCCTGGAAGATTCTGCCTGCTAGAAGTCCATAAATCTTCTTGCCAGATATGTAGATGATATCCCAGTCTGCTTTACCGGTAGCTACAGGTAGGTAGTAGGGCAAGTTGGCTGAATTTTATAATTCCATTCATCCATCACTCAATTATACCATTGAAATAGATATAATAATTCTGCAAATTTTCTAGATGTGACTATTATCAAAATTAATAATAAACATGATATTACAATTTTTCACAAACCATCTTAGACAGACCCTGTCATACATAGTTCCTCAAAATATCCCAATCATCATGAGGTAGCAGCATTCATTAGTATACTTTACAAACTTTTGAATATTTCACTGTCCGAAAGTAATTTTTAGACAATTGAGTTTCATCAATAAAATATCTGTCAACAACGTTTACAAGCTCGACATTATTGACTCCATTTTTTGCAAAAAAACTATGAAAACAAGCCAATCACCAGGTGTTTACTCAGCATTGAAACTGCAACTCGTCATGATCCTTTCGAATAAACTTTTCGACATGAAAACACGATTTGGAATATAATACTCACTCATTCAATTTTGGTGGATCGTAACTGTTTTCTTCTGGATCAGATAGAACGGTTGCACTTACTATCCAGTTCTTCTTTCCAAATGCTTCCTTAAGTTTTCTCAGGAAAATGATAAAGTTTCCCTGTGAATAAATATATAGTGGGTGACTTTTTTGCTATTTGGTTTTTCAGTGTGAATTTTTTCATTGTTTTATGAGAATATTGCTGATGTATCGCTAATGCCAGTGTCAATTAAGATCGCGATATGTCAAATCGTTTCCATTGTCAACAATTGGGCTTTGTTTTATTCAATCCCCTGGAAGATTTGACGTGAGGACTTCGTTATGGAACCATACAAAATACAGCTGCTGTAGAAACTGAAACCAGATGACGTACCACAACGTAGTTTGTTTGGTGAATGGGCCTTAAAAGAGTTGGATGTAGATCCATTTTTCTATCAAAAAATCCTCTTCGGCAACGAAGCCTATTTTTGGCTCCATGGGTACGTCAACAAATAGAAATGCCGAATTTGATGTGAGGAGCGGCCAGAGGTAGTTCAAGAGCTGTACGGTTTGCTGTGGTTTGCTAGCCGGCGGGATCATTGGACCACAGTTTTTCAAGAAAGATGGAAATCGCAACGTTACATTCGAAGTAGCAAGGTACCGTGCGATGATGAGTGAATTTTCCCACAAAATGAAAGAGTTGGACTTGGTTGACATATAGTTTCAACAAGTCGGTGCCACATGCCGCACGGCATACGATACCTATTGAAGGGCGAGTTTGGCGATAATTCAATCTCACGTTTTGAAGAAGGCCGCCAAGATAACGTGATTTGACTCCACTAGATATTTTTTGTGGGGATACGTGAAGTCTCTCGTGTACAGGGACAAGCCAGTCACAATTCCAGCCCTGGAAGATAACATTACAGCTGTCATTGAAGAGATACCGGCCGAAATGCTGGAAAAAGTATGTCAAAATCAAAGCTCACATATGAACCACCTACGGCGTAGCCGCGGGCAACATTTACATGAAATAATTTTCAAAAAGTCAATGGCTGGCATTCATTCATCGCCCGAAGTAAGTATTTTATTCCCTTTGCAAATTTTCTGTGTTTTTTCAATTTTCAAAACGCAAACGGTTAAAAAATCTTTCCTCATTACAGAAGCTATGAAGCATTCACGGTCATATTCTACTAAAAAAATCTGTTTAAAATCTGTTCAAAATCTGTTTTTCCGTTAACCAGCTGTCGCACCCCTACTAAGGATTAACGAGGTCTTACCTTTTAACGTGTGATTCCTAACACGGGTTGGACGATAGCAAGTGAAGATCGATCGTTCAGACTAGGGCTTGAACCACCGACCAACAGGGCAGTCAATTCGAGTGAGTGAACAAAGCACCCACGCTGAACCGCTTGGCTACCGACCGACCGATAGTATGATAGTATCTTTGTCGGGTTCAAAGACCATGTGTGTAATTAAATTTGTAAAAATTCATAAAAATTATAAAAACTCATTATCCCGAGAGATGCAATTATTCAAATACCTATATTGATAATTCATTTTGATATATTTCTCAGTTTTGTCTATATTCATCAAAACTCTGGTGGCTGATAATGTTATGCTTAGCTACTACTAATAATTCCAACTGAAAAGCGTTTTAAAATTGTCATAAAAATGTTTTATCGAATTTGATTCCACAATACTTCGTGTACAAATTGAATAATGAGGTTAATGTGTGATTCAATGCTCGTATGAGAAAGTAATTTTTCTCTAATGAACTCAAAAAAAAAATATATTCGGCGTCTTCTCTTATCATACATAGAAAATAATTGAATATGATCAATTCATTCACTCTCTGTTAGATCACCTATAGAACGAAATATTATGCATTTATTAACAGTGTTTTATTGAATGAAAGTTAAGGCTCAGTTTACACATAATGGACGTCTAGCAGAGACGAGGTGTTGACCTTTACCCCTTCCGTGTGAAGTGGGCCTGAAGTCCAAAAAGGTCCAGAATTTAGCCCCATAAGAAAATACATGGGATTTTGGCTCAGAACTCCTATAGCTAAATTACTTTGGTAGTTCGTATAAACTGGTTCGGGTCATTGTGATAAAGATTATTGACAATTCTTTTGCTAATTTTTTCCCAATATTTATGAAACGTCTTCAACAATTTCATGCATATCATTATTTTTTCACCCTGCGATATTTATATGTTTCATGTCAGTTGTGTTACGCTTCTTCCCACAGATTTCTCCTACTCTTTTTCATCATTTAGTATTATTTGTTTGATTTTTCTCAATTTTGGCTTTGTAATGATATATTTTTTTAGGAGTTCCTATAGCATTTATAGTTATCTCTCAGTATATCATTATTACGGTTTTGAATCCTCCTCCATCAGTAAAACTAAGTTTTCGAACACAACCTGAATTATCAACTGGCGTATAAAAAGAAGATTCGGATCTTCTCTCTCATTAATTCACGACGAGTAAACCTTCTCGATGTTTTATCCGTGTTCGATAACGGGTGTTCCATCTAAACTTTTCGTTCTGTGTCCACAGATTCAAATGTACTCTCCCACCGTTTCCAAAAAATGGAAAATGGACCATAATAAATGGTGATGGGAAACCGGGAGAAGGGGTTGGAGTTGATACAGTACTGAAGTTTCGGTGTCGTCCCGGATATAAATTAACTCCCAGATACCAATTGTCAGTATGCGATACCACCTGGAGTCCAGATATTATCCCAACTTGTTTATTAAGTGACATTATACAATTACTATTATTGTCTATACTTTTCTTTCGGTATAATAGCAGTACCTTCTATTTATCTTTGACATAATTCAATTTTGGACTGGTCATTGATTCGTACCAGACTTTTTACCACTATGTATAATCGATACTCATTTCGACTGTGAAATAGATTATTCAATCTTATATATGAGGCTTGAGCAACTGGCTTTGGAAGTGAATATAAATGAAAGACATATGAGTACAATTCCTGGATAATAAGTAGAAATATGTTCAGTCTTTCAAAGTCTCTTCAACAGCACTGTTACTTTAAATTTCTTGTTAAAAAATAAAATAGAGTGGAAATTTATCCCACCCAACTCACCTCATCAAGGAGGCCTATGGGAGGCTGCAGTTAAGATTGCTAAGTATCATATAACACGAGTAGTTGGTGATCGGCATTTGACCTTCGAAAATTTATCAACCCTATTTTCTCGAGTAGAAGCGATAATGAATTCCCGACCAACCACTCCATTATCCGAAGACCCCAATGACCTTATAGCCTTAACTCCGGGTCACTTTCTCATTGGAGACTCCCTATTAACCTTACCTGAAATAGACTGTGCCGAAATTCCAGATAACCGACTAAAACAGTACCAAGTCCTCCAAAAATCACTCAGCACTTTTGGCAACGCTGGCCAAACGAGTATCTCACCAACATCCAACAACGAACCAAATGGAAGGAAACTGGTGCCCAGTCACTAACCATTGGCGATTTGGTTGTTTTGCGAGAAGATACCACCCCCCCTCAACATTGGAGGGGGGTGGTATCCCTCATCAATTTGACCGTCCAAGCATCAAGCTATATACCTCTCGCTCCTTCTTCCCAGAATGGCAACAGGCAAGCATCGGTCACCGTTTTGGAGAAAAAATATATTTCACTTCGCCTTGAACAGTTGTCGGTGCATGATGTAACAAACATTGCAATATATAGTTTAAATTTTATCAGCGTTTATGTCTCATTTCAACAACTCGAAAGCAACATTTACAGAGGTTCTAGTAGAAAACATCTCAAATAGACAGTACCTATGACTGATCAGGTCCCATTGTCAGAGAATAAAACTTACCAACAAATGTCAACACCATTATGAAACTATATATTGGGGTTATGTTCATCTTCAAATCATTAATAACAATTGCAATATAATATTGAAGTTAAATACGGAATATGATCACTGGTTACAAGATCGTGTTCAGGTTATAGTTTTTTTAAGATCACAACCACCTCTGGTGGATAACACACCAGTGGCGCAGCGGATGTTGTGTTATGAAAATTATTATAATTGCTTTTGAAATTCAACTCGCCATCATTCGTAATTCCAGTGAGTGAGTACTTACAATCATAACATATTTCAGGATCGAGCAGAATGGTAAGGAATATGTTCCAATGACAATGTCATCTAAGTAGCTCCACTGAATCGTATACGATTCCACGACCGGAGTTACAGGCAGCATTGATGGGCATGGCACAAAAGCATACATTTACAATTCAGAATATGGACTTAAATAATTCAATGAATTTCCAGACTATTGAAAATAATTTTCGGTGAGAACAGAGTTTCTTCAATTGCTATCAACAACGGTTACAAGGCAGATATTATCGACTCCATTTTTTTCAAAAAAAAATGCAAAAACAATTCCTTTAACAGGTTTATCACAGATCAAAAAACGATAATGAGGTTCATAGGATATTGACATACTTTGGTGAACCTATACAAATAACATCGCTCGATTTTCGAACAAAAAAACGACTCCAATGTAGCCTACAGAACGAATGATAATCGAAGCAAATTTATTGAAAATAATAAAGACAAAACTTCAGGGTCGGATGGATCAGGAATATATAAGTTGACTTGTAGTTCTTGCCAAAAAGTATATTGTGATTAACTTTTTTAAACAAATTCATTTCCAACAATATTTCACTAATCACAAACTAATTTATTTACAACACTTAGCAACTAACGCCTAATTTATTTCCACTATTTGAATTTCTTGTTTAGCCGCTCCATTCACTTCCTGAACTGCCCTCTTGAGTCGGGAAGCCGGGCTCATATCGGTAACGGTACTTTCTAGAAATCTGTAGTCGGTTCGGTTGTAGAGTTTTACCGGAGATTCTCGACTGCATTCTTTCGCGGTGATGTCATGTGCATATTGGTCAGGGGTGGCTTCAGATTCGTTATAATATATTAATCAAGCGGAGAGAACCTTTTTCAGAAGAATAAAAAAAATAGGATTGGTATTTTGAATGAGTTCAACTATTACTATGACTAAGTGGGAAACATCTGTATAACGAAAACCCACTCATACGGGACAGTATCTGAACCACGAATCCAACCACCATCAATCGACTAAAAGAGGAATCATCAAGACTCTATTAGACCGTGCTTTTGGGCTTTGCAATACGAAGGAAGGTCTCGAGAAGGAACTAGACATCATCAAAAATGATCTTCAACAGAATGGCCACTCCAAAGCGATGGTAGAAAAGACTTTGGCTAGAAGA